ACCACCTTCATCTGTGCAAACAGATTTCAATACAAGCAGTCGCGTCAAACAACAACTTTGCAGCCTTGCATAACAAATAACTATTGTTTAAGTACACATACATTCGGCGAAATAAATTTGAAGTGTTAATTTTTTAATGTCTTTTAATATTTGTCATACATTTATTCACTCAATCATTATTTCATTCATGGTAGGTACATTTAGAAACATAAGTGTTATACTGCAACTTTTTTATAATATCAAATGACAGGACGGACAAGTCGTGCGCCTGATGGTAAGCTTCACGCTTGTCCATAACAGTTGCAGTGCCACTCAGAGCTTTAAATCGCAAAGATCTGAAGGGCATTCACTGCGCCCGTCACCCTGTGACATAAGTCGACAAGTCTCATGTGTTTGTAATTTCACCAGCACCCTTACCCTTCAAAACCAGAACACAGTTATGCTGACATTACTGCTTACGTTAGTACAAGGCCAATTCTGCTCTCTATATTACTAACATAAACGTTTTTTTTGCGAAATTGAGTTACTAAAAAACAGCGAAACGATATGTGCAACACCTATAAGCGTTTTTTTTATATCTTATTTAGTTACGCTTTTATTGTCAGCGTAATTGACTTGTTCAAACCAAAAAAACTTTAGTTATAACAAGGAGGGCAGAATTGTCGAGTGTGAGTATGCAGATAGATAAGTACATTGGTATTTGAATCACCGTTCCACGTTCCTCACGTGCCTGTAGTTTAATGAAGGGTGATTGATCACGAGCACGACAATACATCATAACAAAGTGGTTTCAGTCGATACTCCGACTCCCCTGGCATTTGAATGGAGATACATTCGTACGTACTTGTAGTATATTGTACATGCTCTATACAAGTGGTTGTTGATACATTATTTACGTTTCCAAGTATCTACCAATAACTTCTACTAGTAAATCTACTTGACACGCTTACAATTCCTAGAAGTTAGTAGATAAAAAAAAAGAAAAACTTGTAGCGTTAGTAGGTACTTAAGATTCAGTAGCAGTAGAGGTCCTTGAAGAGAAATTCGTCCAGGGAAGTCCTCACACCTTACATATTTCTGCCGCCGAGCAGTAATGTGGGCATTGTTGCGTTTCGGTCTTGAATGGTAAGGTAAGGATGAAATTACAGGCATATGAGACTTTACACCTTATGTCTCAAGATGACGGGTTTAGTGGCAGTGCCCCTCAGATCTTGGGGATTTAAAGCTTAGTAGTAGTAGAGCTCCTCGTGAGTAAGTTTGTCCAGGGTAGTACTGCCTGCTTACCTATTTCTGCCGCCAAGCAGTAATATCAGCATTATTGTGTTCCGGTTTTGAAGGGTAATGGTCCTGGTAAAATTACAGGCACATGGGACTTACCAACTTATGTCTCAGGGTGACGGGCGCAGTGCCAGTGCCCCTTAGATCTTTGCGATTAAAAGCTCCGAGTGGCACTGCAACTGTTATGGAAAGGCGTGAAGCTTACCATCAGGCGCATAATTTGTGTGTTACGTGGTTTCATAAAAAAAGATGGAATCTGTAGAAGTTCATTCAAAGATTTGGACTTTACCTACTTAATGATTGTAGGCATCACGGAAGATTTATGCGGTCTGTGGTAGGCAGCTAAGACCTTGTTTTAATGACCTCAACGGCTCAATTAGTAGTATTGTAATACCAATTACAGTCGCTACTCCATGTTTTTCTAAATAAATTTCCAGAACTTTCAGCAATTTAGGTATTATTACATTGAAAAATGTACCTAACTTTAATATTGTTTACACGATACTTTGTGTAAGTTCTTGCGAAATATGAATAATCAAACCCAACCAAAATGTATGTACGAAGTTAGAATTCGATACATAGAATATTATTTATGTATTTGACGGTAATACGGAGTGGCAGTTACGCGCTGCAAATCTGATCAGGCCGGGAGCGAGCCTCGAGGGTGGAACGTTACACATCCCCGGCTCCTCCTTCTCTTAAAATAACTTTATGCGATTAGTTGCCACTCGACGAGTTTATAAAATAAAGCCTCCTTGTTGTTGCTTTTCGAAGAGCGCCATTTTTATGTCGCTTAATTTTTGTATGTTTTTGTAAAAAGCATTTTAAATTATTTAAAATTACTGACTCACTCAATGAATTTTACACCATTTATTATGTAAAATAGACGTAGACGCTTGGCTACATTCTCACCTGATGTTAAGTGACGATGTAACCGATGATGACACGTTTTTGTCTAAAAAATGCCTTTTGATTCTAGCTTTAATATATAACTATTTAATATATATAATACTCCAAATTTTAATTATCAGGAAACACAGATTGTTTTATAAGACCAAGTGATGGGATGTCGTGCGCCAGCTGGTAAGTGACGCGTCAGTCTATAACAGTTGCAATAACGCTCAGAGCTTTCACAACGAAAGAATCACAAAGATCTGAAGGGCACTGCCAATGCGCCTGTCACCCTGAGTCATAAGTTGACAAGTCCCACGTACCTGTAATTTCACCAGCACCCTTAACCCTTCAAAACCGAAACTCGGTAATGCTTACATTACTGCTTGGCGGCAGAAATAGGTACGGTGGCAGTATTTCCCAGAACGAACTCTTTCATAAGGAGCTTAGAGGCGTATTCCAGAACTCTACTCAATGCTCAAGTCAGGACTTGAACAGACTTCAGTATGATTTCAAGCACTGGAAATACGATCCTAACGGCAAGGACTTGAGTATGATTTTCAGTGCTCACTGCAATGCTCAAGTCCTGACTTGAGTATTGAGTAGAGTTCTGGAATACGACGCTTAGAACAATATCTTCACGTCTTTAGTAGCAGTAGAGTGATAGTTATAGACGGCAGTGTATTCTATTTCTTGACTGTATTTGTTAGGAATGAGGACGTAAAGTATCATTATGTGGTATATCGAAAGACATAAGCATGGAATATTTCGGAGTTTCTGCCGACTGAAGAGGAACGGTGAGCAGGGAACTACAATTGTAAAATTCCTATATTAAAATATTCCTACAATTAAAAACTACATTCGTTTAAGAGACGACTTGGAAGTAAAATAACTTTCCACGAGTAATTGCAAGCGCCAATTCACAATAAAAAAATTTAAATATTTTAGTAGGCACGTTTACCTTTACATTGTTCCAATATTTAAAAAAAACAGCTGACGTGTTCTCGAGTGCCGTTGGGTCCAATACACACAAATAACATTTTCGGAAAGCACTTGCCCTAAACAAACACTGTCATGTATTTGGCCCATGTAAGCTTCATCGGGCAAATGATGGTACATGTATTGAATCCCTGTGGACAAAAGATCCCGTTTCAAAAGATCGCCCTTCATACTCGCATTTCAAAGAATTCTTTGTTGTGACAGACAGCCGTGACCTATCGATGTTGATGTATGATTACTATGAAGACATGGATCATTGAAAATTTATACATGTAAAATAAGATTTAACCATTTTAAACACTTTTCCAACGTAACTTTATGGCTCTACTAATATAACGGTACATGAAGAGTGGTGGGACTGGGATAGCTGGACAAGAAATAGTAAACCACCCAGCTACCTACTCGTATGTCTATATCATGTTTTAACATTTCAATTTCAACAAAGTTATTAAAAGCGTAACCAAATTCTTTTACAAAATGGAATTTTAAAACGAAATTTTACTTTTTAAACTCGCCGACTGGCTAGGAATCGTGGAAGTTTCTTTTGAAAAGGCCATTAACCATTTTTTCCTTCGTTTGTTTTTCAAAGAATTAAATGGTATTTTTTTTTGTTTTTACAAACAATGTTGTAAGTATTATGTAGCCAAATGTAGCGATTTTGACAAATCAATTTATAAAAAAATTGCTAGTTTACTTTCATAAAACTATATAAAAATTGTAAACCAGTTGACATTTGTTTTCATGTACGAGATTACTTACGTCTGGCAACCCTAGAAACCTTCGATGCATCCTTGATATAGCAACAAAAATATAGCGACTCAATCTTATATAATTAAGCTCAAGTAATGGACTCAATTATTTGTTCTCCCCCACAACCGCCGCTCCCCACCCCCTGCCTTAGTCGGACTACATAATAACAGGATAATGGGCTACATTCAGATTAATGTGTTTCGCTTAATGTATAAACATTTACTGATAATTTCGACATTTTAGAATGTTATGAATTTTTGAACCTTTAAAGAAAACTAAACAATTAATGGAGACTACAGTGCAATTAAAAAAAAAACATTACGTGTAATGATGTTACTATCGTGAGTAATTTGATAATCAATGACAAAAAGATGTGTACACATACCGTTTGCAATAGTGGGTATAATTTAAAATTAAATTTAAAAAATTGTATATAAGCAAATCTTACAGTACTCGTTAGGCGAATATCATACGACGACGGGCAACTCTATGTACCTATATCAATTTAATTAAATTCAACCGTTCGGAAGTAGTAGTAGTAGTAGTTTTCCATATATAATTTATTAACAAAAAAGTTACCCGTAACGATTTCTAGGCATGAAATAATAATTATTAATAGAACACAAAGAAAAATTATTCTTTCATTTGAAATTTTATTTTAATAATAATAATAATAATAACGCACACACTCATCATAGCACTAGGGAAACCCTGTGTCGCGGGTGCCATGGACACATACATAGACAAACACAAATTACACCCAAACTCACGAGAGAAATAAATGTAGGCCATACAAATATTTCTCCCGGCCCGGGAATCGAACCTAGGACCTCTGCGTGTCAGTCCGGCATGGTAACCGTTCGGCCACGAAAGCAGTTTTTGTTGTTATTTGTTTATTAATACAAAAATAATAATAACAAACTAGTGGAGTATTTAAAAGAAAATTTATTCAATATCGTGTTAGTAAAACATCAAGATATTCAATAAATAAACTATTATAAATAAAAATTAAGAATCTGTAAAGTGATAAAAAAATAAAAAGCTGCACTCAAATGTTTAACTAACTTTTAAATATTACTCACCGATAGCTTTGTCCAGCAAGCTCTGTGAATCAGCATCGGGGAACTCATCGGCGGCTACCGCAACCAGCGATACCACCAGCCACCACAGCACACCCATTCTGTGAACATAGGAAGTATTATATTATAGTAAGTATTTTAATACTGATGTTGAATGACATAATAATAACTCTCACACATAGGTAGTAGGCCATAGAAATATTTCTCCAGGCCCGAGAATCGAATCAGGGACCTGAGCTTGGCACACCAGCATATTAACCATTTGGCCAAACTATGTGACTTGTAACCAAAGTTCGAAATGATATAATGATATTTGTCATGATAATTATCTTGATAAATACATCTTGATATTTATAAAATTAATTGCAACTGCAAAATTGCTACCGCTAAGTAGCAATTTTGTGTCATGTGTTTGTATACGAGAGGTATCTAAATGCGTCAAATGTCAATCTTAAAACAAGTCACAAATCAAATCGATTTCCAAATATTTTTCTTTGCGTTCAATTAGTTTTGTTATTGTTTGTCATTTTTAGTCACAAATTAGAGGGCCAAAACTATAAAACAGCGTAGATAGTAATTGTCCTGAGGTTTATCGGATAATTATCATGACAATTATCAGGCCCGTATCTTTCTACTTACATAGGTTTTGTTTATAGTGACCCTCCCTATCAACCATCTGGGTTATGCGGGAAGGGCACTATGACCTGTGCGAGCAAGACCACACGGGGACCATCAAAGTCAGGTCCAAACTCCAGATCAGCCCGTTTGCACGGACTTCACCCGGTTCTCTGTAAGGCTAGTTAGTGCCTTAGGTGAGCAGCCCCGGGTGCATGTACAGCACCTTCCCTATTTCCAAATAGGTACCGGAACTGTAGGCACGCTCACTTCCTGTCGACTATTGCCACCGTTGAGCCGTCAACTCTAAGCCGACTACCAAATCTCGTCATTGGTGGCGAATTTGTAAAGCACGCTCACTTCCTGACGCCGATAAAACGGCGTCTCTCCAATTCCCAAATTCCTAAGCGGCTGGAGGGACAGGAGGATGTCTAGCTCATCCACTACTAGCTCGCCGGAAGAGTGCTTGGAGAAACCGGCAGCAGTGTCCAGCGACAATGTCCAGGCTTCTGGCTTAAAGGGCAACTCAACCAGCCATACCCTCGTCTTACCGGGGAGCCCGTAGTCTCCCCAGAACTCCGTATCTCTCGGGTCTGTAGACCAATATAGAATATCTTGACAATTTCGAAAGTTGTTTGTAACTGATGTTGTTACTTAAAAACGATTTAATTTCATTTCATACACCGCCAACGCAATAGAACAGCTGAAAATTAATTAACAAATTCTACATTAGTTAGTAAACGGTAAACCACTATAACTCGATACAACTGCCGCGCGCCACAGTGGCGGTTTTCATGCAGCCGTCTTATTATATTGAATACCATTATACTGCTGAACGAAATACTATATAAGAGACAGCGATACATATTATAAATGATGTAGGTAATTTAATCTCAAGATATCGTATAAACCACACCAATAAATAAAAATAACTTTATTTATCCACATACATTTTATTTGTTTCTAGAATTGGTTATTCCCTGGATGTATTAATAAGGCGAAGTTGTTGTGACGAATGTGTAATTTGTTAACACTAGTGACGTGCAAAATTAATTTCGACATAAACAGAGATGGACGCGCGCCCGGGTTTTAACAAAGCGCTGGGCTTAAATTGGGTTAAAACCCATTAACGCTCAAAATCGAGGACAAAAACCATTTGCAAGTAAATATGTGATGTAAATCGAGTTTTGTTGAAATTGAATAATATTATTGCAAAAGTTTATTGCTTTCTGATCTAGATGATTCGATTTGTCTTTATATTGAATCCATTCACTTGAAAATCGCATTGAAATAAATCGATACAAAAAATCGTTAGATCATATGAGCTTGAATTGATTTTCATGAAAATCGAATTGTAATGTGCATCGTTAGCAGTGAGAATCCACAGGTTTGCAAGGTGGGTATTATGTGAAGTTGCCTCTTTTTAGTTTAAAAAAGATTTTTTAAATTTTAAATTCCGTATTTACCATTTCCGCCCACAATTTAAGGCAGAAATGGATTAAAACCCTGCCAACTCCAGCACTGCGGTTTGTGTAAAAACCCGGTTAAAACCGGATGGGTTGAATGGGTTTTTAACCCAACACCCATCTCTAGACATAAATCATTGTTCCGAAAGAGTCAATTTTGTTCCTTTCCTGATTATAAAAGTTGGGCACAAAAGTTTAACACAAAAAATGCTGGGGGATGTCGTGATAACTTCTCCGAATAGAGGGCGATCGCTCTTCAAAAGACTATGATTTTCAAAGTCATAGACGTAAACTCAATGTCAAATTTCTAAACCGGCGAAGTGGTCGTTACAATTTGCCGAGTAATGAACAATCTATCGTAAAAGTACCTATATATAATCTAGGGTAAAACCGGGTTAGACGCCCCACTTTTTGAAAGGGCCTCCTAATTTTAAAATTATTAGTTTACCATGAATAATTCCTGTGGATATAACTAGTTTCATCTTTTACATTATATTAAGACTTCATTTTATTGATCCTGCAGAACAGAATCTTTCCCAAAGTGGGCGATAAGCCCCCTTGTGGAGGCTGCAGGCCTAAAGGGGGGTAAGAGACCCAGAAAAAAATGGGGGCGTTGTGTAAAGGCTTAGGGGGAGATTTGTAATTTCATCTAGGAAGACTCTTAGACACCGACTGAGCTCTCGACTCTCGACTTCAACTTGTGAACATCAACTAATATTAATTAAGAGATTGCTCAAAGTAACTCGGTTCGATATTTCTCTACGTGTAGTTTATACATATGTCTGTCCTGTTTTATTGAATAAATAAAAATCATGTCAATCGGTCGCTCCGTTTTGAAATGAAAGTAGACACAAACAAACAAATAAAAAGGCAACAGACACAATTTCGCATTTTAATAGTTATTAGTATTCCTAGATAGGTAATTTTCGTAAATAATAGACCGCGGAAAACCATGTTTTAACAAGTTTTGTTAAATAACCCGATTTGTGCATTCCTGTATCAATCGGCTGGTTTATAGAATACTTGTTCTTTCTTGTTGAGTACGATTGAGCGTCGAATGAGATAAACGAGTTTATGCATGTTTGTCTTATTCCTGTAGTTTCGTGCTGCTTATATAATCTTATATAAATAACGTAATATTTATTTTATTTTCATTTACGGTTTCGCGCGTAATAGATAAGCATTACTTAAGTTCAACACTTATAAACGTATTTCTCTAAACAAAACAATGTCGGCAGTAAAAAAAGAAGAGACGGCAATACTGTGCGGAATATATTAAATTCGGATTCATTGAAAATCCCACAAGCCCATCGTCGCCTTTGTGCCTTCTATGTCTAAAAACATTTTCGGATGAAGCAATGAAGCCTTCAAGACTGCAAGGTCATTTGAATAAAATGCATCCAAATAAGGAAGACAAGAATGTAGCATATTTTCAAGACCTAGAGAAGAAACATAATACTCAACCAAGTGTAGCAAAACTCTCTTCGGCGGCTGCTAAGCAAGATGACGACGGACTTCGAGCTTCGTACAATATCTTTTTGTTAATTGCTCAAAAAGGCAAACCATACAACATCGGAGAAGAGTTAATTTTGCTAGCAATAAAGGAAGTAATTACTACTGTGCTTCATAAACCGGCCGCAGATATTATCCGAAAAATTCCTTTGAGTAATAATACTGTGCAAAGACGAATTGATGAAATGGCTGAAAACATTGAAGAATCATTGTGCAATCATCTGAGGACTAATCAATTCTCATTTCACCTCGATGAGTCCACTTTACCAACTAATGAAGCATTGTTGCTGTCTTACGTGAGGTTTATTTTGACTGCCTCCGTGGCCGAACGGTTACCATGCCGGACTGCCACGCAGAGGTCCTAGGTTCGATTCCCGGGCCGGGAGAAATATTTATATGGCCTACATTTATTTCTCTTGTGAGTTTGGGTGTGATTTGTGGTTGTCTATGTGTGTGTCCATAGCACCCGCGACACAGGATTTCCCTAGTGCGGGGCTATGTTGAGTGTGTGCGTTATTATTGTTATTATTTTTATTATTATTAAAGATGAGAAAATATGTGAAGAACTGTTGTTTGCTAGAATTTAGAGACCGATACAAAAGACGAAACCACATTCAATACATTGGAAAAGTTTCGTGATGAGAAAGAGATTCCTTTGAAAAATATTATATCAGTTGCTACAGTTCAATAATCATTTTTATTGGCAGGTGTAGCTTGTAAGAGTAAACTTGAGACGATGATGAGAATGAACTAGTTATTTATTTATTATATTTTAATTATATCTGTCTCTCTTACCGACAGCCTAGATCTCCTTGGCATAACATTGAACGCAACCCTTAACTTTGGCGCTTATATTGAATGTAAGTCACAAATTGCAGCCAAAAAACTGTGTATCCTTAACAAGGTTTAGCGATATTTCACGCCAGGACAGCTCTTAACTTTATACAAAGCACAAGTCCGATCTTGCATGGAGTACTGAAGTCACCTGTGGGATGGCTTAGCATAGTATCAGCTTGAGGCTCTTGATTCGATTGAGCGCAGAGCCAGAAGACTTATAGCCGACGTTAAGCTCGAATCTAAAGTTCACAGTTTGGCCCACTGGCGAAAAGTTGCCCGTCTGTCGGTTTTTTACACAATATATTTCGGTGAGTATGCCCATGAGGTCCATCAGCTCATCCCGCTCGCCCCCTTTTACCATCGGAGATCCAGACGTACGGCGGGATATCATCCTTACTTGGTCGATATTCCCTTCAGGCGTACTAAGCGCTTTTCATCATCTTTTATTATGCGCACAGCCCAGGAATGGAATTCCCTGCCTGTGTCTGTATTTCGAAATTAATACAACCCGGGTATCTTTAAAGTGCGACTGAATAGGCATCTTCTGGGCAAGCTCGTTCCATCGTAGATCCTGTCTTTGCTGCAGAGCTAGGTAGTGGTCAAGAGCAAGTCCATGTAATTTATAAAAAAAATAGTAAAAGTCTCGTTTAGAATGAATGTTTAATCTCCAC